TGGAAGAGCCACACTCAAGGGGCCAAAGAGCTGCATGTGGCTCGTGAGCCGCAGTTGGCCGACCACGGTGTTAGTGTATCACACAGGAGATATCCAGAAGGTGATTACATTCAAGCAAATAGGGAGTACTGGAGAGGCTAAGGTATGTCCTGTCCATTTGTTAGAAAAAGCCACTCTTCTCTATAGGGAGGTATCTGATAGCGATGCTTAAAATGTGTCATAGGTGAACAGCACAGGTAGTAATACAGTTTCATATAATTATGTAGAATGTAGGCATTATAGTATCATTTCACAGGTGAGAAGACAGTCCCAGAGTGACTTTATTGCTTATAAAGGGCAGAGCTCTATCTTGAATCTCTGTCTTCAGACTTTGAGGGTAAAGCTTTCTCCAGCTTTCTGCTTCAGGGAGCTGTGAGGCTCTAGTCCAGGGGTCCTCAAACTTTTCAAACATGGGGCCAGTTCACTGTCCCTCAGACCGTAGGAGGGCCGGACTATAGTTTAAAAAAAACCTATGAACAAATTCCTATGCACACTGCACATATCTTATTTTGAAGTAAAAATAACAAAACGGGAACAAATATAATGTTTGTATTTGCATGTGGCCCACGGGCCGTAGTTTGAGGACCCCTGCTCTAGTTTGTGACTCCTCCTGACCATGGGACTGACCAGCTGGCTGCTCATTGGCAGCAAGAGCACCCACCATTTGTCCTTGACCGCAGCTTTGACACCCCCACCCCACCCCCAATTCTAGTTCCAGTGCTTGCCACCTGCTACCAGGGAGCCTCACGATAAAACTGCAGATTAGTGAGCGCTGCACCAGCCAAACTTTCTTGGATGGTTAATACAACCCGCTCCCCAGTGCAGTGGTCTCTCCCTGTGTCTTTCCCTCTGGTGATGGTGTTCACTGTGAGAGCAGCTAATGGTTAGTCGAGTGCAGTGGCTTGGGATCTGCGAGAAAATGAGCTCAACAGGGAAGCACAAATAAGCTGTTAAAGCGAAGTGGAAATGAGAAGTGGAGGGGATTTGGACAGGTAGCTGAAGAAACCCGGGAGCATGGAGACAACTCGCGGGATGCTGTGTGAATGCAGTTTCAGGGGGCATTTGCCCCACTGCAGCATGACAGCACCTCTTTTTTGCACTGGATTTCAGCCTCGAATGAAGAAGGGAGAGACCACAGGAATAATGGGTGTGTGTGTGTGGGGGGGGGATAATGAGCCAGGAGCGCCTTGGAGAAGTAATATTTTCTGTCTCATCTAGCTGACAGCAGCACCTACTATATAATGTCACATTTTGTGCAAAAGCTAACTTTTATTTGCTATACAGAAAAGCCTGGCCAGTAACTGCCCAGAACTCATGGACGGCAAAGATTGGGTCCATTCTTTTTTTTAAAAAAATATATTTTATTGATTTTTTACAGAGAGGAAGGGAGCGGGATAGAGAGTTAGAGACACCAATGAGAGAGAAACATCGATCAGCTGCCTCCTGCACACTCCCTACCAGGGATGTGCCCGCAACCAAGGTACATGCCCTTGACCGGAATCAAACCTGGGACCCTTGAGTCCGCAGGCTGACGCTCTATCCACTGAGCCAAACCGGTTAGGGCTGGGTCCATTCTTACTTGGAGAGCTGAAGGGATATAGGCTTAAGGGTTTGTGGTATTTTGTTCACTTGCAATTGTTGGAATCCTAATTCGGCACTACTGGGTTAGGGCATGTTCCCTCAAAGTAAAGATCACAAGCTTCCCTGTGGGGAAAGTCTCAGCGTTATATCTGAAAGAGGTGACAGCCCCATTTTACTGCCATCAAAATAATTCATTGCCCCTGTCTGTGCAAAATACTTCGGTAGGCACCAAGTCCCAGAGGCTTCCCGATTCAGTCATCGTGTGCTTTCTGCAGTCTGTTCAGTGTCCGTTAGGCTCTGCACCTGTGAATAAAATGGATCCCTGGAAAACTTCACCTCTGTGGAGATGGCTGCCGGTCAAGAGAAGGCTGGGGCCACCATCCGCGCCAATTACACAGGGCCAGGGAGGCGTCTTAGGAGGCGCCATCCTCAGCCTCAGTCTTGGGGAGTGTACATACAAACATCCTTCAGGCTTCCACTTTCCACCAGGAAATCTGGGGATAGGTAAGAATTGAGGTTTTGTTCCATCAGCATGAGCCATGCTGAGGCCAACTCTTCACTCTTTCTTTGCTTCCTCTCTCTATGGACATAACACATTCCCCCCCCCCCCCCCCCCCCCCCCGCAGCTCCCATACTGCACCTGAGATAGAGGGACACAGGGGACACAGGTGCCTCTCTTCCCCAGGGAACAAGTCAGCAACATCATTTGGGACACCAGTCCGAATCGTTTTAAATTTTACCTCTTAGTCAGTTGCCTGGTGACACGTGTGTCTTTGCCTGCATCTCCATTTAAAGGCAGTACTTTTTAAAAAGATAAGTGATCATGAACCGGCGTGGGGGTGTCTGCCAGGTCCAATGGCACAAGGTCCTCTGCTTCACCAGCATGTCTTTCAGGAACTCCAAGGGCAGGTGGCTCCCCAGGTCCACAGACTCCCGCCCTCGCGCACACGCCTGGCTCCCCTGCCCCGCAGCGTCAGCCCCC